TCTCGGATTGCTCGATTGGCGACTCGAGCCATGGGGCCCTGTCAAGTCCGCGAACACTGGAAGCGGTGGCCGTGTTCGTTACACAGCCTCGCTGTTCTGTGCACAAACATGTTCTGGACATGTTTGGGCATGTTGGCGTGTTCGCCCCCCCCGTCCTCGTCCTCACACCCGTCCCCCGTTTCCTCCCCTCCCGACCGCTCCCCGCGCCCGCGCCCCTCCCCCCGCGTCCGGGAGCAAGCAGCTGTGCACCCGCACTCCTGGCCAGACCAGGCGGACGTAGACCCCCCGAGCCTGGGCCCGGGATGCGTTCTGCCAGGATCGGCTCAAGTGCATAGTTGGTGCCCCGACCCTCGAACCTCGAACCTCGACGTCGGACCTCGAACCTTGAGCCTCGACGTCGGGCTTCCTTTTTTGTACTCGCGCCGTGGGCTCCTGGAGGTCCCGGCCCCCTGCCCCGGAGAGGAGCTGCCGCCCCGGGCCAGAGTTGACGCCCCCCCTCGGCCGGGCGAGGGCTTCCGCCGACGCCGAGCACGAGCCAACGCTGTCCGCCGTGCTCTTTTTGACGACGCGAAGGGATCTGTCCTCCTCCTCCTCCTCCTCCTCCTCTTCCTTCTGGACCCCTCCTCCTCCTCCTCCTCCTCCTCCTCCTCCTCCTCCTCCTCCTTCTCCTCATCCTCATCCTCATCCTCATCCTCATCCTTTTCCTCCTCCTTCTCATCCTTTTCCTTTTCCTCCTCCCCCTCCTCCTCCTCCTCCTCCTCCTCCTCCTCCTCCTCCATTGCCGAGCCAGCCCGCCCAGCCTCGGCGGCGAGCCCGGGGGGGGAGCGCGCCGGGGCGGGCCTTCCTCGAGGCCCTCCCGGGCGCGGCAGCTGTCTCACGCCGGGCCCCAGGGCCCTTTACATACGGTAGGTTTGCGTCGTGTCGACCAGCGGCGACCCCAGCGCGGGCGTTCAAGGTTGAACGCCGCTGGCGACCCAGAATCGATCGATGTTGAACGATCGGACTTTGCGGCAGCGGCCGATCGTTCAAGGTTGAACGATCCCTGCGGTGTCAAAAACCAACGCTGGGGTCGGCACGACACGAACCTGCCGTATCGGGTTGTGGTCGGGCCCCAGGGCCCTGTACATATCGATCCCGCTCGAGAAATGGCGCAGCTCGAGATGGGGTCCTGGGCTCAGGGGCGTGAATCTACCTTGAGGCCCTCCCTGGCGCTGCAGCTGTCTCACGCCGGGCCTCTGTGCTGCTCGTGGTCGGGCCCCAGGGCCCTGTACATCTCGATCCCGCTCGAGAAACTTGGCATCGCTCGGACGTGTGCTTTTTTTCTCGGGGGGGATTAGTAAGGAGCATCCTTGATCATGTGGCGAAAAAACCCACGCGCGAAAACGAAAAATACACAGGGAATGGACGTCCGAGCGATGGCGAGGAAATGGCGCAGCTTGAGATGGGGTCTGGGGCTCGGGGCGCGAATGTTCCGCGGGGTGGCATGTCTGTTCGCAGCGCCGGACCTCAGGGTCCTTAGAAGGCTCGCAGGTCCCCGGGCCTCGGAGGAGCTTTCTGGGCCTTCCCTGGAGGCGCAGGGCACTTCTCGGAGGGTGCGAAGACTTCTGAGAAGTCCCGCCGCCTTCTGAGAAGGCCTTCTCCTTCTCACTTCCCCCCCTCGCTCGCCGTCGACCCTTTGCCGAACGGCCAGCACGCCCAGCCCAGCAGGCGCCGAGAACTATCAAGCAGTGTCCGCCGTGCTTTTTTGACACGACGCCAGGGGATCTGGGCCCCCCCCCTGCCCGAACGGCAGCTGGCGCCGAGAACACTCGAGCATTGTCCGCCGCGCTTTGCCTCACGACGCGAGAGGATCTGGGCCCCCCCCTAATGGGCCCATTTTCCACCACCACCACTGCCATATGGGAGGAGGAGGAGGAGGAGGAGGAGGAGGAGGAGGAGGAGGAGGAGGAGGAGGAGGAGGAGGACCTCCTCATCCTCCCTTCTCCCCCGTCCGACACATGGTAGCGGTGGTGGAAAATTCGTCCATTATCCCCCGTTGCCGCACGGCCAGCCCGCCCCGGCCCGGCAGGCGTCATGTGCCCCGTCCCGGACTGCCCCGGGGTGGCCCTGGCGGCTGACCACCTGCCGGCGCGGGCGGTGCACTGCGGGCGCTGCGGGCAGGCGGTCTGTGGCAGGCGCCCCTTCAGGGCGTGCTGGTGGGGGAGGAGGGCCACGACGGCGACGACGACGACGACGACGACGACGACGACGACGACGACGACGACGACGACGACGACAACGATGACGACGACGGCGACGGCGACGGCGACGGCGACGGCAACGGCGACGGCGACGGCGACGGCGACGGCGACGAGGAGGCGTGTGCCCACCCCTCTCCGCCGAGAGGGGCCCATTCGGTTGATTCCGGGGCCCCCAGAGGTCAGCAGCGACCTCACCGACCCCCAGCAAACCGACCCCTTCCGTGACGACCCCATTGCCTCGCTCCAAAACGTGGGAGGAGGAGGGAGGAGGA